GATCTAAGACAGTTCCAAAAGACTCATAATGGAAAATGCTATCCACATTCAGAGAAAGAACTATGGAGTCTGAATGCAGATTGAAGCATACTGTTTTCTCTCTTTTTTGTTTTTTTCTTTCTCGCAGTTTTCCCCTTTTGTTCTGATTCTTCTTTCATAACATGACTAAGTGGAAATATTCTTAATATGATTGTACATGTATAGCCTATATCAGACCGTATGCCATCTTGGGGAGGGGAAAGAAGAGGGAGAAAAAAAATTGGAACTTAAAGTCTTATAAAAGTGAATGTTGAAAACTAAAAAAAAAAAATTAAAAAGTAACCATCTAGCTTAAGATTACAAGTTTAAAAAAAAAAAGTAAAATCTGGTTCATCTCTAATATGAAAAATATCCCTCTTATTACTCATATCTTTTTACACCCATACTATAATAGTTCTTGAGGATTAGGGAATCATTCTAAGTGGTTATTACAAAATGCATGTAGTTGATTCAGGAAGTCTGTCTTCAAAAAAGCTACAGTAAATTCTTGTTCATTTGCTTTGACACTAATCCATGCTGCTTGGCTGACTGCCCAGCAGGGCCATCTCAGGTCTCACCTAAGCACTGTGGCTGTGTTATCTGCTTCGATCTTACTTGTACGGAATTGGGAGGAGTGTGTTCTAAAAGAGAACAACCTAAATTAATTAACTGATGGTACAGTTATCATGGCCAACCAACAGACTCCAAAGCCAGAGCCATCCATCAGCCCCCCCCCACCCCACCCCCCAAAAAAGATCCTATTTTAACGAGAAGAGAAAAAGGAAAGGAGAGCTGGAAAGCCATCAGATATAACTTAAGGATTGAATCTGAAAAAAGTAGGGCTCTGAACATCTAGAAAAATACAGAAGAGCATTGGGCACCCACATAAATCAGACTTTTCCCTGGACTGCTAAACATTGAGGTCAGCACACACAGGAATAGAGGAAACAGGTTTTACTTACATGTAAACCTGAAAACCTTTTAAGGTGGGGCATTACTTATGCTCCCAGATTGTCTCCCTTCTGATCCAGTTTCTCTGTTGAGCTGGTACTCTCATCTTACCATTCTACTCTCCTTCCCCTTTAATATGTCTACAACCTCGAATGTTGACTCTTGTGTCAGGCTTTATCAATAGAACTACACTACTTAGTAACTAGAGGAGATTGCAGAAAGCACTTTGCTTAATGAGTCCTTCAGTGGGATGTGAGATGTTATGGATAGGGAAGAGGAGATAAAGATCTTGTCAGCATCTTTTCTTTTGCTGGGGTTTCCTTTTGTTTGGCTCTACAGTGAAATCCCGTCTGATCATTTTTTTCTTCAGACACCTGTCAAACTCAAAAGCTATTCTTTCCCAGTAATATTTATTTCTGTTAGTATCCCAGTAAGTCTCTTTACGAGGTGGGGGGTGTTATAATAGCACTATTATGTATGAGAGATGACTATCTCTTGTAGAAAGGGATCTGAAACACTTAACACTCCTATTAAATATGTAATATATTGCATTTAGCTCCAATCTCTACCATCTTGCTGTAGTTGCTAAAGTTCTCCCAAAGAATGTTTCTCCTAAATACATTGTTGTGATTGCTCTCTGAAGTTCTACAAAAATTACATTTATTAAATATTACACTTAGCAATAGTAATCAAATGATAGGATGCAGTTTTACCAAGTACCATTTGGAGGTACAGTTTTCTGTGCTTCTCTAGAGGTAGTCTACTATGTAGCAGATAAGTTCACAAATTTTTTCTTTTTAGCAATCTGTCTTTTTGATGAAGATTAGGTTCCCAGGCCTTTGGTGAGGAGAGTTAAGTAGTATAATTGGTTCTCTTTGAGAACTGCTGAGTAATAGAGTCCCTTAGCACACTTCTTAGTAGAAAGACAGAAGAAGCTGTCCGGTGCTGTGGGTTGGGGGTGGGCAGGTGTGGAAGAATGGTATTAGTCCTGGGAACCGAGCCCAGGAGTGTTTACAGGGGTAGAATGACAGGGAGGGTAATCATGATATGGATGCAGGCTCAGAGCAAAGCATCCAGCTGGGAAAGTAGCTTGGAGTCAAAAAAGTCATCTGGATTCTGGCCTCTTTGCACCTTTTGTAAATGGTTGTCTTAGAAAGATCTCTAGTCACATTTAGCCCCTCACAAGTAATTTAGACACATACAGAAAGAGTTTACTTCCTAATCTCAACAGCTTTCCCTCACCTCATGAGACAAGGATTGAATAAATTGAAACTTCAAATACTCAACCCTCCCCTCTCTCCTCAAATTACTTCTCATTCTCCTCTTTGGTTTTGTGTTCCCTTTTCATCTGCAGCTATTCTCAGGAAAACAATCTTTGCTCAATGTTGATTATTCCCTCAGTTGTAATAATTAGACTAACAAACACTGGTAGCTTGAAGTCAGTCTCCAGAACTAAGGAATACTTGACATAAGATGGTGGGGAAAGGAGTACTAGCATTGTCTGAGTTAAGACAGTCCGTAATCAAGTTGAACCATTGTACCAGTCTAAGGTGTAGGGTAAGGACTTACCAGAGCAAGAGGGTGCATGGAGGAGGGAAAGAGCAGCCCCTTGTCTTCTTAGCTTCCCATTATTTTTCCCTTTCATTTCTGTGAACCTAGAAAGATGTGCTGTTTTTCCATCTTCTTCTTGCTGCCCCATTGCAACATCTAGAAACCTGTCTCCCTGATCTCTCAGCAGAGTTAAATTGTTAGGAGATTCCAGACTACTGCCCTTACCTTTATATTCCAGGTGATAATGGTTTGCCGGTCTTTCACACCAGACATTTGAATTATTCCAATTTACATAGGATATATTTTTAAATAAACAATATGGTGTGTTTTGTCTGTATTCTACCTTGATAGGTTTTTATTAAACAAAATTTGAATAAAACCTAGTGATTCTAATGTGGTTAAAGAGTAGATTCTGCATTTGCTTTTATAGCTTCTGGAGTGGAGCTAAATTTATTATTAATATAAACAGGACAAGACCTTTTTGTTAGCTTTACCTGGTAGTAATAACTATTTCTCCTCCCCAGATGCCTCTTGAAAAGAGTGCTCTGCATTTGTAGTGGAAAACTAAACTTCCTTTTTTCCTTCTTTTAAACAGACTTTATCCTTCCAGCCTCCAGCCTTACTCTGGAATTTTACTTCCCTCTGGTAGGGATTGTTGAAGAAAGGAAAATTTGACTCATCTGTTAATTCCTTTTTCCAAGATAACATGTCCAGCACTCCAGTCCTTCCTAAATATTGTCAGATCTAAGACCAAAATCAGGGCCCTCAAGTTTTGTATATTGAGCACATCTCCAGCTTGGGAAGCCCTCTCCAGAGATAAAGCATCAGGGTGGAACCTAAAAGACTCTGCCCCGTGAATCACAGATCTACCTCCTAACTACCAGGTGAGACAGTCAACCCACTAATCAAGATTGTTGGACATGTTATCTTAGAGAAAAGGAGTTAGTGGGGGAGTCATTATTTTCTTTTGGGGAATCACTGCATGGCATTTTCTGACCACACATTCATGTTGCCTGTAACATGCTATGTTTGCCTTCTAAGCAGTATCAGACTTCCCTTCTTCTACATGTATACTGTCCCATGTGGCTTCTGCATGTTAATTTCTGATTCTGGATGTTTTGGTTAATTTGGTTTTAAATTTTCAAGTAAAATTTTTCATGTTGCCATGTGGATCAGGTTTTCCTTAAGAAAATATTGACTGAGAAAGGATACAGAGGCTAGATTGCTAGACTTTGGGAGTCAGGTGTCTTAACTTTTATACTTGGCTTTGCCAGTTTCTGTCACTGTAACTTTGATGTAATATAAGTAGTTTAGTCTTCTTTTTGCTCCAGGTATCCTATTTGTAAAAATCTGCTAACCTCCCTGACATGTTGTAAGAATGGATAAAATATTGTAGCATGATTTAACACTCATAGGAAATATATATTTAATTTTTAAAAAAGATAACCCTGAGTGAAGATAGTTCTGTATTTTTACTAAACTAAAAAGAAGACAGACTCTGAACCCAACAGTATTAATGCAGTACCCATTCATTTAGCTAATCTTGTGGTATTTTTAAACTTTGCTTTCAGAAAAGTTGATCTCCTGTTGTACTTTTTGTTTCTGTAGTGATTAGTAAAAGCAAACAGTCATGGCAAATGTCTTTGAAATGGAACACATTAACATAGGAAATTACTGAGTTTCTTACGCTAGAGACTTTATAGAAAAGTGTTGTTAGTTCTCTGACCAGGTTCAGCGTAGCCCCTCTTGGAGGTTACAGGGGCAAGAATGACATCTTGAAGCTCTTTCCAACACTAAAATTGTTTGTTTACAAGGTATTTCTAGTGCTGACAAGTATTTTGGTTTTTCTGGTAAGTCTCTTTAAAAAAAAGTTATTGACTTGATATTGAACTGGTGGCGTGGAACCCAGTACCATACATACAAAAAATATGTATGGGGTGTAATTTTCTCTTGAACTAGGAAATGGGGAGTTTGCTGCCTGGAGGTTATGCACTGAAATATGAAACCATTTCAGAAAATAAAATTGTGACATGCTAATCGCTGAATATCTAAAGGGGATATAGTTGGTAAAATTGCTGGATTTAAAAAAACTATAAAGTCTGGGAAACAGCGACCTGCCTCACAAAAATTAGAATAACTTTAGCATCCAAGATGAGCAGCAGCACATGCCAAAGATTCTGATCCAAAAGAGGAAGCTCAAAAGGCGGTTTGCTACTATTTACTCCTTGTATTTGCTTGGAATAACAACATATTAGCATTAACAGAATTCTTGCTCTTACCTCTTCCACTTTACCAAGATACAGGTTTGTGAAAGGAGATCTTTTTTGGAATTGGCATTTTTTTTTTAAAAGCATTTGCAGGATTTTCAAGCAAAAGTGCTTAGAACTGCTCCAAATAGAATTAAGCAATACAATTTCCTCCTCCTGATCTCTCTCTCTTTTCTTTGATGCTATAATATGCTGCTATCTTTTTTTTCTTAGGCCTTTGAATTAGCCACAGGAGACTATCTGTTTGAACCTCATTCAGGAGAAGAGTACACTCGAGATGAAGGTGAGTCTGTCTTTGGCTACATACTATTTTTTAGAGTTTGTGAACATCACTGGTGATAAAAAGATCAAATCTTTTCAGAATCAGAAAGGGCCAAGTTTTAAGCCCCCTGCAGTTGGAATGAGCAGTGATTACAGCCAGGCTTAGGTACCCATATGTTTGATGTAGATCCCAGAATAGGTGAGAACGCAGAAAAGGATTATTGGTTTAAAAAAAACCTTTAGGTCTTATTTGAGGTTATGGGGGAGTAAGGAGAACTAGGTTAGACTGAGGCTTATAAATTGCCAGGTTACTTCTATTTGAACTCCTATTGATCTTCCCTTTTTCTTGGTAGAAAGTTTTTGCCCAAATTGAATTTCAATTTAGGAACAGCACGGTTTTAATATTTTGCTCTATCATGTCCTTGCTATTATTTAGCAGGTTTACATATTGATATCTATTATTATTTTACTGATATCTTAAGTAATTCTGAGATAACATAGGTTCTGTGTGCAGGAGTTCTTTTTAAAAAAAAAAATGTGTGCAGTTTTTATCCTACATTAATGTCCTAATGACCACCTAGTGTCATGGAGGTAGCCTTAGATTCTTGAAGGCTTTGCTAATGCAGCAAATGTTCTGGCAGGTCATACCAAATTGAACAGTGCAGGCCTGCCCTGGGTCACAGCCTTATTGAGTTTAGAGAGGCTCCACGTGATAAATTCTTTTGGCCTTGGAAACTATTAAGGCAGGGAGACTTTTCATTCTACATTAGTTCAAAGCTCACCTGCATGAGTGAAATTATAGATCCTTGAAAAAATGAGTATATGATTTGTATATAGTATTGCATTTTTACTGACACCCAAAAAAGTTTGAGTGAACACCAGCTATTTGTCACTTCTATTTGGAAATGTACATCCATCACTTTTTTTTTCTCTAGTGTGATCATTATGTCCCTAATATTTTATAATCTGCTTTATTTCATTTACTCCTTTATGTATCAGCATAGTCTAGGACAGTTTCCCTTTTTAGTTAGCTATACGGTAAGGTAGCTTTCTACCTTTCTAGCTCTAATATTCCATTATTCTTTCCCATTGTGTGTTGTTCTGTGGTCTGTGCAGTGTCAAGCCTGTGCATTTAGAGGCCCAAAAAATGTTCTAGCTGATGCCATAGCCAAGTTCTCAGTTCCAGTAAGGTGGGAGAGATGCCTATTAGACATACCTTATGTAGATACAAACTTCAGAAGCTCTCTGGGGAATCATTACAGTATTATCCTCTGGACTGGTCCCATCCTTCATCTAATACATGCAGAATATTTCTTCAGGAACTGCATACTTATATAGTGCTGTGGAAATGTTTCTATCCCTGTCTTTGGCAGGAAGGATATTTTTTTTTTCCTCTTAATTTCCCAGTCATTCCTATAAACAAGTACTGATAACTCTGGTGCATTTAAATCTCTTCAGTTTACCTGGTGGTTAGATCTTGGATTGAGTAAAACCTTCATAATGCCCAAAAATTAAATTAAGAAAAAAAAACAAAACAAGAATGTATCCACAAATGGAAAGCCCCAGATAAAGAAAGGAAAAAATAATACACCTGTTGTCAGTTAAACTAGAAAGTTCCAGTTCACTGCTTCTAAAGCTTATCATACTCCCCTCCAACAAACTTCAACCCATGTACTATTTCATGTGTGCCACAAAGTAAAAAAAAAAAATTTTAATGTAGTTCATTTAACAGTATCAGTAAGCCCCTACTAGACATTGGGACATTACTCAGTCCTAGAGAGTGTGTATTTGGCTGTCTCTTGCTACCTCCTAACCTTGACTTTTTGAGGTTATGTTTTCATGATCTTACGTGGGTTCATGTCTTTGAAAATGAGGCATTTTGCTGTGAAAGATCTTACAGCTTTTGAAAAGCAGATTCTCCCTCCCCTATCATGTGATCCCCTCCCCCAAATGGGATCACATCAGGTGATAATAAAAGTCTCTTTCACAATCAGATAGGAAGAGATTTTTGCCACTGTCAGGTGCGTTAGAAGAATCTGTTGGAGATGGAGAGAATACAGGACTTTGGGAGATATTTTGTTTCCAAATTTACAAAACTCCATATATTTTTGGAAGATAGGTAGATATAGACTTACCTAAAGGAAAAGTTAATCTTGTCGATAACAGGTAAGTTAGAAACAGAGTGTTTGAATTAAACGTAAAAGAATAAGCTAAGAATGGAATAGTTGATATCTTTTATGTGTCCCAGCTAGGACCCTGCCCACAACTTCTTCAGGAGCAGAAACAGTAGTTGTGGTGTTGGTTCAAAACCTCTTACCATTCTGTGGTACTTTTTGTTCTTGTATAAAGTTATTTTGTTTCATGACATCTCTTTCTAACCTTTATTTACCTGGAAAGAGACAGAAATTTCTTGCTGGAATTGATTTTTCTTTTTTTAGTTTTCTATATTTTTATTGCACAGAGTCCTGTACAGTATTGTAAATCATCCTAAGATGGGAGGAAAGTTAATTTTTTTTCCTACCTTACCTAAGAATAAGACATTCCCAAGTATTTGCCTTCATGATATGCTGAGCCAACTGTGCCAATGAAAGAGATTTCAAGATGGAAATGCATAACATATTGTAAAAGTGGTCCATGGGGCAGCTAGGTGGCGCAGTGGATAAAGCTTTGGCCTTGGAATCAGGAAGACCTGAGTCCAAATCCAACCTCAGACACTTGACACTTACTGGCAGTGTGACCCTGGGCAAGTCACTTAACCCTGATTGCCTTACTGTCGCCGCGCCCCCCCC